GAACGTACTACGGTTACGGCCCGTACTTAGAGCTTTTTTTGGACCTACAGTACGTACAACACCAGAAATCGATCCGTACGTACCTCACGATAGCTTCAACCGTACAGTATTACGTCCCGTTGGAAACGCTGACAATACCTTGGTTAAGTCCACTCCAGCAACTGCAATACCATGGCACACATTAGACGAGCCAACCATAATTCCAGCAACCCACACCATGTTGCGCACGCGGACAGCAGAAGTCTCTCACCCCTAGTCCTCCTCACTCTCATCCTCATCTCTGGCCACCTCGCACCCACAAGGCCAAAGGTGAGATACCGCATACCCAGGATACTTTTCCGTGAAGTCACCATACCATCTATGCCATTGGTTCCATGCCTTCTTCATCTCAGCTGTAACCGTGGCTGGGTAGTGTGGAAACTGTTGGTAGATTGTGCCGTGGAAGTTCTTGTATTCGTCCCACTTGAGTTGGTCTTCTGGTTCAATCTGATGGCCTACACCAGTGCGGCGGTCGGGGTCGTCTTGGAAATCGCCGTTACGACCATGTAATCCTTCCTTCAAGTATGGAATGAGAGGTGGAGAGATTCTTGAAGGGGGGCTGGGAACATTGTGGGGTACTGGGGGAATTAGTGGGGTGTAGTGATAGCAGCAAGCGGAGTAAATGGCCGAGAAGAGAGTATGTATTGACCACTCCAGGAGGTACTCAGATTACTATCAGACGTTTTGCGATACCTAATAGTACCTTGAAGTCTATTGGGATTTGGTAAAGAAGTTCTGTAACTTACTTGTTGTCTCAAAGAGGTATGTCACGGGCCCGCGAAACGTCTCATGAGAGGTAGTAGTCAACACGCGATCCTCATCGTCACCTCGGACTATTATCGAAGAGCGGTCGGGATCAGACGGATTCATGTCAGTGCCGTTGAAGAAAGCGTTCTGGTGGTATATATCATGATCTCTGTCGTTATACGCGGCTGTTTGCGTGTTCGTTTGCGAAAGCGTTGGTATAACGTCGTCGACTGACTTGTCTATCGAGCGTTTCTTATCCAAATTCTCAATATCTGTAATACTCAAGTTTGTTGTTACGTCACGCTTCTGTAACTTCGCGGGTGGTTGGTCGTCCCGTGACCTACCAGGTGCGCTTCTCTTCAGCTGACGGGGCTGGCCGAATATATCATCGCCTTTGGTCGAGGTTGGCGGATAAACTCCGTGGCTGTTGGAGGCGGGAGTTGTAGCGGTATACTTCCTAGTATTTAGGCTAGAAGATGTTGCGGTAGTGGGTGCTAAGGAAGCGACATCATCGGACTGCTCGGCTTTTTCTTGATCATCTGCAACTAGGATTGTAAGTACATCTGCTCACAGTGAGCAGGGTAGATATGAACCTACAAGACAGTTCCGACTTCGGATTGCGTCCAAGAGCAAGTGTTTCCTTCTCTTCAATCCAGTTTGCAAGCATCGTCTTTGCTAGTCCCTTATTCTTTAGTTCTTGCCTCTTATCTGCACCTGCATACTGCCCAACGATATCGAGTAGCTCGTCCGTGTTGTATTTGAGAAGAGTCTTGGACAAGCGAGCGTTGAGCCTCTTCTTGTTACCCAGGCCGTTTTGACTATAGAGCGGAATCTTCAAGCCATTCGCTTCGTAGAACTTGGGTGCGGAAGCTTGCGTCGAGGTGGGAGTTGTAGGCGATGTCGGACTTGCTGGGGTCTTTGACTTTGCTTTCGTTGGTTCTATGGTCGTCTTCGTCGGCTTTGTGGGACTGCTCGCGCGGGTATCATTCGATTTCTTCCTACCCTTGCCTTTGCCCTTGCCTTGAGAGGCCACAGCCATCGCGTATGCGGCTTCGTCGGTGTCGATAATGTTAGCATGATCCATGTTGACGCTGAGCTTGATGGCAAATTCTGTGAACGAGCGAAACTTGGGGGAGATGCAATAGGAAGCTAACGAAAGTGACATTGATTGAGGGGCGAACAGTTTCGTTTGTCTTGGACATTGTTCACAACGGAGTGAAGGCGCGAATGCACCGCAGCAAAATCGATTCGTGCACAATAACCTTCCCCTTTCGGACGACTACACGTTGGTACCGAGTATGCGGGCTGCTCCTGACCATACCGGTGAGCAAGTTCTCTTCTGAAGAATGGACGGTACCATATAAAACCAGGTCAAACCAAGAGGCCTTATGTAGGCTGTCCAAACACCAAGTGATTGGTACACACAATCAAACAATAGACCTGGAAGTTGAAGACGCTTACAAAGAGTGCGCGTTAACAGTTTTCGATGCTTCAAAAACCAAAGAAAATCTTACGAAACATGCAAGCGGCCTACGCGACAGCTGTGTAGTGGTCCCTATGGCTTTCGTGGCTTGCTGCTCTTTCTTCCCGATGTTATAGCGGAACAATGTCATTATGAAGTCAAAGAGACAATGAGATGAACTGGAAATAAGTGACATGACTGAGAAGAAAACCGATACCGTGATACTTGCAGATAGGTAATTCAAAGACATGCTTATGTCGTAATTCTAAGGACACGCTATATAGTGGTACTGTGTACCTAACTTCGTGAATGATGGATCATGGTTCAATGAAATGACATGCAGGGCCCGAGTGTCGAGAGATTCGAGCGTCGGCGAATGCTGTAATCTAAAGTCGCAATCTGACTTTTGGACGTCTCGCGTTGAAGTGTCGAAGTCGGAAAGAAAGTGCGGTCGCTGTGCCACGTGAGACGAGGCGGAACCGACCGCCGATCTAAAGGAGCCGAGGCATACCCGCCTCCAGCTTTCGGATCGTCATTTCGCGACTCTCCAGTTCCATCATCAATCTACAACCCGCGCGTGCTACCGGCATTGCGTAACGTGTAGTCAAGATGGTGCGCGAGGATATCATACAGTCTGCTGTATCTTGTAAGTTGATGCGTGCCGCGCTCCACGCTACGCGACGATACTAATCATTCTCGTCAGTCCTCCAAGACCCGTCGGTTGCCAGCGCGCCCCTTGAGAAGCGCATCGCTTTCCTCCAGTCCAAGAACCTCACGCAAGAAGAAGTCGATGTCTCTCTCGCGCGTGCAGCAGAAGACCCTAGCCTACCTTCATCGCCTCCACCCCAGACATCCGCAGTAGCCAGCAATGCGTACAGACCACCACCTGCAGCCCCATATGCGAGCTATCCTCCCCAAGGGTACTGGCAACCGCCTCCGCCACCACCAGAGTAAGCTTGCCTAACCCAGATATTTGAAGTTGATGCTGACTACGTAGACCCCCGAAACGCGACTGGCGAGACTACTTCATCATGGCGACGGTAATGGGCGGTGTAGGGTACGGTCTATACTTCACAGCGAAACGATACGTCCTACCCCTCATACAACCACCTACGCAACCCCAACTGGAGCAAGACAAGGCCTCTGTCGACGAACAGTTCAAGCGCGCATTCGATCTCCTCGAGCAACTCAACACCGACACATCCGCTCTCAAGGCTTCGGAAGAAGCACGGACACACAGACTCGATGACGCGCTGGGCGAGGTGGAGAGCGTTCTGTCGAGTCTAAAGGAGTCATCGAGAAGACAGGGCGACGACAACAGACGTATCGAGGACGACGTCCGAGGCCTGAGGGACTTGATCCCGAAGGCGCTTGACTCCCAGAAGGAGGCGACCGACAACAGGCTTAAGGAGCTGTCCACTGAGCTGAAGAGCCTGAAGACATTGATCGGAAACAGGATGGGATCCGGCGCACCACCACCACGCCCACAGAGCACCTCAAGCTACTACGGCACCAGCACACCTGCTGCCTCGGCATCAACTCCCCAGCCATCGTCTACCCCTGCGCCCAGCGAGCAGACCAACGGCACGAGCTCGACCGAGAACCAGACCAATGGTGCTGCAACACCCGCGCCTAGCTCCATTCCCACTCCTAGCACAGAGAAGCCGCTCCCTGCTTACGGTAGGCCGTCGCCGGGACGCGCCGCTATCCCAGCATGGCAGATGGCCGCTGCGAAGAAGACTGAGGAGGCGAAGAAGGATACCAGCGAGAGCGGGACTGTGGCGGATGCCGGTGCCAGTGCGTAGAATGGTCACGGCTGTGTTATCTGATAGTCTTTCTGCATCTTTGGCGTGGTCATTCTATATGTGTATTAGGGATAAACTCATGGTTAACTTTGAAATGCAATTCTAGGTACTATCTAGTAGGGGTTTTCGCTCCTTCCACAAGTGACTTGCACCAGCGCCGCTGCCACGCATACGCTAAAAAGCGCTAGTGGAAACAAGCAGCGATGACGAGCATTGTTGTCTCATATCTGAGACCATCTTCACGCCCTTCGTACTGTTGATACTTTGCCAGATAAATCTGCCACCTACCGTGTATCGCTCTCGCGTTGCTCTCTCCGCTCCCAGCCCACTATAGGTTCTCCAGCTATTGGATACGAGTACAGTATTATGGACAAACAGGACCTGAAGGAGGGCACTGTGGAATAATCTACCTTTCCATGCGAGTGGTACAACAGAGTAAATGGGTGGAACATTCAGGGTCCATGCCTGGCGCTCACCGACCAACTTTACTTTTCCTTGGCCAAGCTGGCCTGTGCCTCAAGGACAGCTCAGACGTCTGATAGATCTTTCGTCATTGTAGTGTTTTGTGAGGGGGGTAACATCCTGTCAAACAAAGTTCCGAGATTATGCTAGGTAGCTCGGAACGTTCCGAGATTATGCTAGGTAGCTCGGAACGTTCCGAAAATCTTCATGAGCAAAAAGAGAAGATTGTTTTAGGCAAACCGTATCGCATCTTATCCTACTGTTCGAAAAGACACAGAAGCAGATAAAAAGAATGCTGTCAGCGGTGGGATTCGACTGATGAGTTTGTTAGTAACATGCTCGTAGCGAGCGATGTGGTCCTGGAACTTACACCCACGCAGGTTGCCCTATGAGAAACCTCTTGAGAGTGCGTCTTCCGAAGAAGACAAGCTTTCGCTTGAGTCACACGCCATAACCACTATCCATTGTCAGCACTTGCGATATGGAAGTTCATACTGGTAACATACCTCGGCCACGCTGACGGAAGGTGATTTGATTCCAGTATTGGTAAAAGAATTCTTCATATTCCAAGAATGCAGGCTCGTTAAGCGTGCCCACGAAGGTCGCTCAACCTCCGAAAAGTGCCCCGCTCACTGTCCCACTTGCTATCCCACATAGAGTCGCATCTCGAACATGAGAGACTCGACTATCCAAGTGTTTTTGACCGTAAGCGATTTGTTAGTAAAAATGCCCGAGGATAAAAACTTGGCGCCGTTTATTCTCAGTGTTTTGCTCCTCAACAACCAACTTGAGCAATTGGGTGTCGGGGACATGCTCGTATGCTGTAAGCAGCAGTGCAGTGGGCAACGACATTATGGACTTGGTCGATCGAGAAGACTTGTACACGCGTTGCCAGATGGCGTTGTCCATCGTTCTGGGTAGTCGGAATGGCTTCCAGGCCAACGTCGTGATGTCGTGACGTCGCGATCTCGCGTTTCGCGTCAATGCTCCTAACCTAACGTCGACCCGTCAACCCAGCCACCGCAAAACAAACTTCCAGGTCCCCCAGCCCCAGCGTCATCGACATCTTACAGAATCCGATATCTCATGCACGATCGATCTCGCCAATCTCCCTGCCCAAACACAAGGCTCCACACTCCCCTGGCGCTACGCTTGTGTTGACGTCGACTGTCACCTTCTTTTGGCTACAGGTGCGTTGCTAGCTTTGGGTTGATGGAACTTTTTGTTGTCCCTTGCATGGTGGGTGCTTAGATGCCGTGCGTTTGCAAAAGGATGACGCAGTTTCAGGGTATCTTATCGCACCCCGTCCCTGCATCGCTCACATCTGTATGGCTTCACACAGCTCAATCGCACACCAAAGATGCTGGTGCATAGCCGCTTGATAGTTAAGAGAAGGGATACTGGATGGCTGCCGTGGATCCCCGCCATCGTATGACGCAGCGACTCTCACATCTAGACTTGTCACTGCGTCGCCCCTTCTTGACAAGCGATCATCATCTCCCGCCTCTAGTAAGGGATCCCGCTTGCCGGATCGACATGCTTATCCACTTGCAGTACACATCAATCTCATGCTGGCATGGCGCATTGTGGAGGTAAGTATCGGATTCTCGACTATGCTGTCATAATCGTGATCGTAGCATGGGATCTAGATTGCGAACCGTGCCCCTTGTTGTTTCCAACCATCTTCTTGCATCAGAGGCTTGAGAAGACTACATGACGTATCGCTTCTCTGTATGACAGCAATTCCTACATAAAGAGGTGATGCCACGCAACTTGCTCTACATCAACACATCATATCATCAAATCATCACAGCTGCCTCCATCCTCATACATCTCTACCAATTCTATATTCACCCCTGAATAAAATCCACACCAACATCATCACAATGAGCTCCAGTGACATCCCCAGCGGCAACGCCATGGACAACGACTACAAGTCCCGTACCGGCCAGTCCGAGATCCCCGTCCAGGCCGACGAGGCGCCCGTAGAGGCGACCGAGTACACCAATGGCGGTGACTCTGATGCGCAGCTAGGTATGTATCTACAACAAAAACAATCGCCATGGCCCTAACATGTTTCAGAGCGCGATGAGAAGGATGCTATCGACAGCTCCAACATCCTTGACGAACGCACGCGTCATGCTACAAAGAAGGCTGGCACGTACACCGAGCCTGGTGATGAGGAGGGTCTCGGTGCTGCTGCTGACGGTTCCGATGGTACTTCTTCTACACGATAGAGTGTGATACCCGACATGAAACAGGAGGATTTTGATAGCGTGGAGTAATGAATTTGATATCCTATCTATTCAAGAGTCTTTACCTGTCCTCGCGCGTCACTGTTCTTGTTGAATTCATAAACATTCTGGCGCTTGAAATATGATATTTCCCATATGCACTGATGTCACCGATGTCTTATATTCGACTTGATAGAGGCAATTGCCTCTCATATCCCGTTGCGGAGGTAGAGTATACTTCTTCCCTGGCCTATCTTTGTCGCTTGTTTACTACCACAGAGGACGTTCTTTTCTCCTGTTCCCCTTTCACTTTCACTACAGTGCAACGCGCAGGGTCATTCGTCATGGTATTAGTTCAGGTTTCGTTTGCTCTTGTGCACGCGATCGCCTCAAACCACTGGAAAAAATAAAGGGCTTCCAGCATCTGTCTACTTTACTCCCACGACTAGCTACCATCGCTAAGGGTCCAAGTCTTATCTGCGGTTGTCGCGACACTGTTGTGACACCACGTACGACCTCAGCGCCGACGCATACAATTCTCCAATTCAACGCATAAAACATGGCTGGGCAAGGCTGTGCGAAGACCATCGCCAATGGTAAGTCGAGCGTGGACACCGAGATGTAACTATCGCGACTTCCCCATGTGATCAATCAAAGAGCAAATATCCGTGCGGACCACTCAAAGCTCACATACTGACTAAATGTCAGAGCGCGCAGCTCGTATCAAAGCCACTGGACAACGTGTCTATATCTCCGGGCTTAAAGGTCATCACACGCTCGAGACTGGCGTTGCATATCACTACCGAGGCCACTTCATCTATGCTTTTCCAGCTAGCAACCCCATTGAACCTGTCCCATTTTCAACAAAAAAGGGCATCAACATAGTAGGAGTCGTCAAAGATCAAGCGCCCATTTACAATCATACAGACCCAGATCTTATACTCGAACAGGATATTGCCGCCTTACAGAAGTCTTGCGTACACGAATGGGAATTTCAACAAGCACAGGAAGAACTCAAGAAGCAGGAGACGAAAAAGGTACTTGAAGCAGAAGAGATGGGAGAACATAAGAAAACTAAAACCGAGACTGTGGCAAGCAGCACAAAGGATTTTGACGCTGCTACGACTCCCAAGGCAAGCGCACAGGAACCCTTGCCCAGTGGAGCTCCCTTGCGTGTCCCGTCCTTTACGACATTGCCAGTTCCCTCGCAATTATCATCGAAGAGAGCTTGCCGCCCGCAGACTCACTACCAACCAGTGACCAGCCAACAAAGCTCATCTTCTCCAATCAACATTCCCCGAATCGGCACCGTCGAAGCTCCGCCTGCACAAACTTTTCCATCAACAGCCTACACACCCCACGACCGCGGTAGGTATCTCGCATACTCCGCCCCCGGATCCCGCCACGCCTCTGTAGACAACACGCCCTCCGTCTCACGCCCCGTCTCACCAACCCACCTCCATGGTCTCAGTGTACGCAGCGGCCACGACGGCCATGGTCATGTTTCACTCCGGCCTATAGCAAGCACTTCGCGTCTGAACCAACTTCTCGCAGAAGAAGGTTTCCGCCGGTCTATGAGTCCTCTTGCAGATGTAACAGAGGACCATCTGCGAGGAAGCGGACACCGAGAAGGACGAGATGGGGATCTGGTAGTCAACCTTGGGGTATCACAGGGCTGGATGGACCCAGACGATATTTCCGCGTTTGTGGAAACTGTGAGCCGGAGGCCGTCGCCTTCTCGTGTCTCTTTGCGGACTCGCTCGCGCTCGTTGTCAAGGGTGAATAGCCGGGGTCCACGGGGTGATTCAAACTCACCCGAGAAGGACGTCGATGAGGGTTTGTATCTCCATGGTCTGGGTCATCCGGATGTGATTCGTAATGATGCATCTAGGGCTCAGACAATGGAGTCTAGCCCGTTCCGTGCACCGGGTTATGGGTCTACGGAGAGTACGGCGTATTTGAGAGAATTGGCAATGAGGCATTACGATATAGTCAACGCCGAGCCAGAGACGTCTTCATCGCAGTCACAGACGCCCATTGGCCATCCACCCACTGGTCTATTTGGAAGCCCGGTAGTTGCAACGTCACTGCACCGCGATGCCATGCCCGCCTTCACCTTCCCAGTTCCTCGGCACACACTGGATACTTCCTCTTTTCCCGCTTTCGACGACGATGTTCCGCCCGCTAGCTACATAGATCACGCTGATAAGAAACCTCTTGTCACAGGTCGTCCACGCGCTGGATCGAAATCTGTACACACTGGCCGTCCACGCGCTGCTTCCAAGGCGCTGAATGAAGCTTACAACGCCGCCAACCCATCATCAACGCCCCGTCTGGTATTTCCGTTCAGCTTCATCCCGCCTACCGGGTACACTGGTACTGAGAACGACAACACCACCAGCGCCACCACCACTGATGCTCAGAAAATAACCTTCGTAGCCCGCTGCCCACTACACTCGGAGTCTTGTAATGGTCAGGACGTGGTACACGAGCATATGACGCAGCGTGCTAGGAATGGTGCTGGGTTCAAGGACTTGTTTCCCACGATTGAGTGTGAAGGTGGAAGGGTGATGGTGGATTGGAAGAAGTTGATGAATGAGGAGGTGGAGAGGCTGAAGGGTGTGTGAGGGAATATGATGTCAGGTTTTGGGCTGGTTATTTTGCTATGTATGAAGCCTGGGAGAGATGATGGAACGGAGTGGATGTAATTGAAAACCACGTGGTACGATACAAATACGTGATACGAAGCGCGTGATAATGAACGGGCTGTGAGCAATTTTCTCAATGTAACATAAAAACGAGACAATTAACAAATAAAGATTGAACATTGCGATAACATTAAAGGAGAGGAAGAGAGCCCTACTGATATACATGTAACGCTAAATATGAACTGGCTTTGCCTTGTCCGTGCACAACGACTCTCATAAGCACGACGCTCCCCTGGGTATCTCTACTGCGTAAGAACACATACGATACTCTCCATGACAATCCTTAACGCCTCGTCGTAAATCGACTACATGGTTCGGTAATACAACTTGTTGGTCATACACGAGGCAAGCTTACTCGGCGGCGGCGGCCTTCTTGCGGCCCCTTGATACTATTAGTCACAAGTACGATGATCATCCCACAGCTAAACATACCTCTTCTGTGGAGCTTTCTTAGGCTCAGGAGCTTCCTTTGCGTGATCCGAAAGCACTTCAGCCTCAGAATCGAGACCGATCTCAGGCTCGGGATCAAGGTTCTCGACTGCAGCCTTCTTGCCTCGAGCCTTCTTGGGCTTGGGAGCTTCCTTGTCGCTAGCGTCAGTATGCTGAGCAGCCTTCTTGGCACGGCCGCTGGCTCGAGCCTTCTTTGCAGGAGGGGCGGCCTCTTCGTCGCCGTCTTCTTCCTCGACTTCCTTCTTGGCAGGTCGGCCGCGCTTCTTAGGGGCAGGGGCGGGAGCTGGAACATCTTCTTCGTCCTGATCCTCGGCTTTGACCTTCTTGGCCTTGGTGGCGCGCTTCTTGGGAGCTGGTGCCGGGGCCTCCTCCTCCTCTTCATCTTCGACTTCGTCCTTGACCTCGCTCTTCTTGGCCTTGGTTGCGCGCTTCTTCTTGGGTGGGGAAGCAGCGTCCTCGTCGTCATTATCTTCGGCGCCCTTCTTTGCCTTCTTTGCCCTAGGCTTCTTTACACCTGGACGGTTTAGCTCAGGATCCTGATACGGTTAGTAAGTGAATCGCTGGCGAATCATCTGGGGTGACATGTGAAGATACTTACGCGTGTGCAGTCCTCGTCCGGAATGTGGCCGTTCTTGAGCGCGAAATCGACCTTTTCTTGAAATTCGGCGGGCAACTCGTCGTAGCCATCGACCATGTCAGTATCACCTCCGCATGTCTCGATCAGATTTTCAATCTGCTTAGGAGTAACGCATCCCCTGGGATGGTCAGTATGCAAGTGGCAGGAACACGGCAAACATCAAAACGTACCAATGACGATATTGCCAGCTGACGTGATCTTTGATAGTTACTTGTGTCGCATAGCGGAACTGGCCCTTCATTATCTTGCTGCCAGAATCTTTGCATTCTTTAACTTGACAACCGGCGCGGTTGTTAGGAGATTCCTCTGAAGCACAATCAGTCCAGTTCTGGTGAACGGAAACCGTGGTTTTTTCATGCGGCCTAGAGGTCATTGGCCGCGCCAGTATCCAACTTCGTTCAGGTACTTACCGACGCGATAGACACCCATGATCGCGGTTGTCAGGTATCGGGAGGTAGGTGGGGTTTGGGTTGCTATGTGTTTTGCGGACACGCGCAGAAGTAATTGCTTATATGTGTAGACGTGTTAGGTTGCAGTGGGTGAAAGTGTCCTGTCTTGTTTCTATCGCTGGACGTCGCGAATTGTTTGCGCCAGTCGACGCGTGAGGTCACCGCAGGAGGCGCTAGTGGCAGGGCAGCCTTGAGCACGGGCGCTGATCCCTGTCAGCCAGTTTAGCGCGTCTCGGATCTGGAGAGTGCAGTTCGTCATGATCCTAGTCAGAAAAAGTCAAGACATGCCGCTGGCACGAGCATTCACCCTCACCCCTCATCCGCCACCCCTCAATGAGCGCTGCGCATACATGTTTTCGCAGCGCCCTCTCACAGGCTTTCCGTCCGAACTCTCGTGGAATCGCTGCTCCCTGTTCTGTCGCCGCCTTCCTCGTTCCTGCCCTCGGTAGACCCTCGAAACGCACCTTCACCTCTGGAAAACGCCGCCCCGCAGATGCACAGTCACATCTTCAGCCACCGACGGAAGATAGAGGGGATGTGATTACCAGAGTAGTTCCTCTCAAGCCTAAAGAACGCATTCGATCACGGATACAGTATCCACTTCGAGAGGCTCGTGGCGATATCAAAGCATGGCTCGATGCCATTGAGCCATTCCTTCCGCGTCACCTGCGGCAAGCGACGTCCGACGAGCCAGAAAGGCCTACAACCTCGCTCGACTTCGCCTTGTTCATCAACAAAGCCCAGGATGCTTCAATAGACGTCCTTAGCTACCTTGGGGTAGAGGCGGGGGAATGGCAGACAGTACTATGGATAGTCAAGAAGCTCACAGAAGACGGGAATTCTCCACTCGATCTGAGCGCTCATCTTGAGCAGTATTCATATGCTATATTGCAGGGAGAAGAACACCGGTCTTTGAAAGAGCTGACTGAAGGTCCCTTGCGTCTTCAACGGACATACCCAAACCGCAAGTTGCAACTTACACTGGACGTCGTAACATCCGACCCCGAATCGATTCGCTATTCGCATGTCATGGTCAAGCGAGCCCTGGGACAGCTGTGGAGGAGCCTGGCAAATATGATATTGGCGGCTGCGGAGCAGAGCAACGGCGAGCAACACACCATTATGCCGCACGTCTTGGAGATGATTGCCTATCTGCATCATTTGGGCCTGATGCCTGACTCAGTCTACACATACCGAAATCCACAGGATAAGCATGCTTTCCAGCAGCCTCCGACACTCCACATGCTATCGTCCAAGATCTTGACAGCTCTGTCTGATGCGACCTGGAATGCTCACGAAGCTTCCGTCAAGACTGCCAAGGATCGCGCCAACGCTCACTACTTCCTCGGCCACGAGATACCTGGATCGCGTTACAAGGTTCGGGTTACGGAAGTGGCTCCGGAGCTGTGGCTAGAGCTTGTTCTGTGGTCATGTTTGCACGGTGGCTGGACACTTGACGGTGCTGCCATCTTGGAGCAACTGGCAAACAGAGAGGGAGAACACGCCTGGGCACTCATCAGTTGGCGGGAGATCCTAGAAGCAGAGCAGAGTAAGGCCCCAGCTCCGACAACAGCTTGGAGCTTGCTTCCAATGAACGGGGAAGCTGCTGCAAGCGCAGAAGACCGCGCACGAACCCGCAGAACTATAAGCAGCGAGATCGTTACAGGCTTCGTTGACGGGCTTGTCAATCAAATGCGACTAGGGGTAGGAGCTCGCGGTGCTACTCCAGAAAGTCTGATTGCCTCTATCAAGACTCTAAAAGGCTTCTTAGACAAGAACAACTTAAGTCTCGGTTCTTCAGCTTGGGACTCCGTCATGGCCCGATTAATTGAATCTGGCGGCTTCGCCCCCGAGAAGCGACCAGAGCTACTTTTGAGGGTTTTCGAGCTGGCTCCAGGATTTGGTGGTGAGGTCGGCTCTGCAAATGCGTCTGCCTCCGCTAGTACCGAAGTACCTTACTTTTTTGAGCCCACCACCATACCACTCAGCTTCCTGCATCGGGCGATGCGTGCTTTCATCAGCAATGGAGACATCCAGGGAGCAATAACTACACTGTCTATGCTTCAACAACACACTGATGACAACAAACAAAAGTCTGTGGAAGAGTTCTTTCAAGTCCTTCGCAGCAGTCGGCAATTACGACCTGATGAACCTTTTACAAGCCATTTGCCACCAGTCGAATTTCCGGCTTTTGAAATCAAGCTTTCCCTTCCTCTCCTTGCGCGGCTGCTAGATCTAGTCACCGAGTCAAAGCTGTATGATCTGGGCCGATGGCTACTTTTCTCTGACGATTTGGATGGTCCTCTGATCGGTAGTGAATTACACAGTCATCGTAACATATCCGCTTCTGTCGTTCGCTTCGGCACGATGGCCGGAGAGAACAAACTCGTCTTAGACGTCGTCAAGAAGGCCGGTACATGGAATGAGAAATACCAGCAGTACCGCATGCCAGCCGAGATTCTCACAGCCTTGCTGTGTTCACAGATCAAACTCCGTCAATGGGACTCTGTCCGAGGCATGCAAAAGTATGTGGAAGAGACCTCTACATTTAGACCGCGACCCATCATCATTTCGAGCTTTGCTGCAGAACTCCTTCGAACTTCGCCTGGCCCCGAAGAAGTCAAAGTACGCGCCCAGGAAACCTTCACTGGATTGCTCTTCGCATGGGAGAACATGATACTTGGCAATATACGCGATGAGCTCTACTGCACCTTATCCATCATGTCGACCGTAGACAGCGAGTGGAAAGCTTACTGCTCTCGCTTCCTCGCCTTTTCCTCCCGTCAAGCAGTCAGTCTCTCCACTGATGATTTCAATCGCATACTAAGCGGCGTACTCGGTGGTTACGGCAGCGCCAAGGGCAAAGCGATGGTAGAAACTTGGTGTCACACGTCAAGAAGATATCTAGAGTCATATCGAGCGCCGGGCGGATTACCCACTATGCCGCAATATCGCGTCACAAGGAGCATTGAGTATGAGGATCGACCGGAAGATATTAAAGTTAGGCAGGAGTCTGGCGCCACGCTCACCTTGCAAGGACGCATCGCTCCCAACAGACAGACGATCTGGGCCGTCATTCGGAAGGTGCAAGATGAAGTGGAGAATGAGACGAGAAGTGGCGAGAAAATGGTTGAGGCCACGCGTAAAGAGAAGCGCGATACGCTGAGGTGGGCTGCAGGGATGCTTCATCAATTGGGTTACGAGTATGAGGATTACATTGCTGCTCTAGGCGATCTTGCAGTGCTTGCCAAGGTTGAGGATCTTGCCGCGCCTAGAGATGTCGACGTCGGGAATGAGGAGGGTGCCGAGCGGCTCAACGTCTGAAGCCGGCTTCTCTAGCTTGCATGCTGAGATAATGAGGATAGCTTGGCCTGGAACCGACGCACTAGAAGCCCGTTTTTCGGCCACTTGCATATAGTCTACCAGAATCTTGTACATACCGAGTGTCTAGAAAAAGGCCATCGTGGCATCACGAGACTTTGGTAGATACATTTGCAAATGAAAGGCAAGTCACAGCAGTCTGAGCTAGAGACGCTTATCCTTGTTTGTACATACACTTGCGTAAGCACGTAATGTTGCCTCCAAGATGTATGGGGCCCCTGACCCATTAAACAACTGTGGATGGGGGGCTAGTTGTTGTAAAGACATGATGCGCGTGATCCAGAAGGCGGTGGGCAGGGCGGTGGGTGTCTCCTTGGTAGGTACTGTAGGTATTACTGTAGGAATACTGGGGAGCCCTTTGCAACACAATTTTCTGCCACTTTCTACCCCGACTAAGTAGGTAGGTAGGAAAACCGCGTGATCCAGATTTTCAAACCCTGAGTGTGTTCGTCGCGTCTAGGCTCCACTGGTACTCCACATACACCAGGCTAGAGAAGTAAGAGGTGTTAACGGCTCCTCGGCCAGACCGTCCTCTGTCATCTTCTGCCTGATCGTCAAGTTGCCAGCGTTGCAACAGACAAAAAGGAAAAAAAAACGATATGTGGCCTTCTGGTAGCGAGCCATCCTACAGAAAGTTTAGGTGGTGTGTAGCTGCAATGTAGCTGTATTGCCTCCAGGGGTATACGTGAGTATTTCGGCCAATGAGAAACCTACCATTCATGTATGTACGCATCCGACGGCCAATGGGAAGGATATGCACATATGGCATGTCGAAGATCTCGCATCAGCTCAAGAAACAGACTCGTCCAACCGGCGTACTGTGTGGGCCGGCCCACCTATGCACTCCAAGCAAGGTAAAGCTCAGCCTCACGAAAAAAAAGTTGACCCGAAGTTTGCAGAGTAAACAGAGCAGTTGAGCTTAGACCGGTTCACAAGTCATTGCAATGGGCGTGAAAACCTGGAGTAATGTCCTGTATTGCTATTATTTTTAAATAAATGATTTACAAGCGAGCCTCAGTGCGGACGCTGCTGCATCGTGACAAGCAGCAGCGGCCCGCAAGTCGCTGTAACTTTACTGTTTGAGGCGCCGGCTACGTTTGCACCTCTTCACCGCTTCTTCGCCTGCGGGCGCCAGCGTCAATACAGGCCCAGTGCGTATCGATATGAGGTGCGTCTGGAGGGGTACAATGCCGGGCGACGTCAAGCGTACTTTTGGCAGATCGTGGATCGCATCTCGAAGACATGGTCTAGCAGGCACAAGTTTTCGTCTTTGATGGTTTTGCTGGGCCAGATATTAAACATGACGATGTAAGGGGAGCCAGGCCAGCGGTAATCTACTCTGCGTGCCCTGCTGTTCGTCGCAGCATGTGCAAACCCGGGGGCTTGCGTCTTAGCAGAACCAATAGGCTGAAGCCGTTACCGTGTACTTTAGCCCCGTGTTGCCTCATCGCTGCACGCACTGCGCACGTCCAGGTTAGTTTCAGTGGGGCAGTTCGGCGAGAAACCAAAATTTCCTGATGAGGGGCACGCGACAGGCGCTGGACGAGTGCAATGAATGGGGAATTGAAGAAGAAATTACAAAACCTACTGCGCTAGGTGTATACACGGCCATGTCCTTGGCTGACTTGCACGTCGCGTCGTGGCACTTAATTGGGCGTTGAACATGGAGTCATCGCTGCAGAGAGAACTAACGCGCTTGGACCATGCGATATGTCGCTAGGGCGGAACTAAAAATTAAACATATCCTCTGCCCTCGCCCGCATTTTCTCTCCACACCAGCCCAAAGACGTCAAAGTCACACGAAAACATACCAGAAACACACAACAACCACATCTTTACACCATTAATCGTCGAGACAATGCCGCAGGCAATCGCTGAGCTCTAAACTCCTGGTGCAGCCCTGCCTACGGGCTGCATCAGCCCGACAGCTCACGGAATTTCAACCTCTACGACGATACCAATACTACGACTGCGTGCAGTATCCTCTGCGCAAACTCGTCTCAACCAATTGGTAGTCGTCCCGCCTGCGCTGCAGAACAACACCATTGTCATCTCTACCAGCTCAACGCTTGAAGATCGACGAGATACAAAGGGCCCAGCATAGTTCGCCAGCCCTTCCCCTCAGTACACCAAACATCAGTCGACCAAACGCCGTGAACCCATATCCGACCTAGCACTCACCTCCCACCATCCCGAGTTACCCCCGATTTCACCTGCCACACCTCCGCTACCGAGACGACCTTCAAAGACACCTACCATGGCTCACCTTACCCACGCTCGATCACCCACTCTTGGTGGACACTACCAAGACCGTAAACTCGCACATGAGACTGCCACCAACACCCACCGCAGTGATCAGCGCTCTGCCTCTCGCGACACAGTCGGAGGCAGCGCACCCCACACCAACGGACGCAGCGGTGATCAATCCGCTACTGAAGGCGCTGCGGACGAAGACGACGAAGAGGACAGTAGTACTGCCAAAGACAACGAACAAGATGACGACGAGACCGATGCAGACGTGCCGGCCTTACCCTACAGCTATGCTAGGGGAGGCAAGGGCAAGGGCAAGCGTCCTGCTATCCGCGTCGAGCATGCGGATGACGATGAGTCTCACGCTGAAGAAGATGAAAACATCTCTGAGCTCATGCCCAACAAACATCCAGTTAATCAACTACTAATGAGCAACAAGAAGCGCACCTTTAGCAATCTCTCAAGCACCTCAGTGCTCTTCGGCGACGACTCTACAGATCAAGAGTCGTTCCCCAGACGCAAGATGGCTCGCAAACTGAGCAACGCTTCCAGCATACCGCTGCTAACATACAAAGAAGACGAAGAACCCCAAGTAAGCTATGAAAACGCTATTGAGAGCGACGATGAAGACTATAGCGGCGTTATGAACATCCCTGACGATGACGAATCCGACATTGAGAAGATGGAGCAAGAAGAAGAGAGCTATATCCTTCAAGAAGAGCAATCAGCTACCAACCTTCTCAATGAGTATCGTGATGCTCGACGACTCAGTCTTGAGAGTTGTTTTAGCGATAACATCTTCGATGTTACCGCCCCACTAGACGATGAGTACATGGCAGGACTTGCCGACTTTGGCTTCACTCCTTTCTTTGAGCCGGATGCTCTGCCTGCTTCTCCTGTTCCTATGGCCAAGAGAAAGTTCTCAGATGGCTCAGCCAAGCGCGTCCGCTTTGACGACGACGTACAAGTATCAGATAGTTCCAGTTCGGAATCTTCAGAACTCGACAGCAGTGTCTTCCCTGATCTCTTCTTGGATCAAGATAAGATCCCTCCCAGCTTGCATCAACTTCTTGACATGGACTACGATGATGACAACGGAGACATGGCTTCTCCGCAGTCAGATGCGTCGTTCTGGGACTTTGAGCAGAACGAGTCGCGCATCACTCAAGTTGATGATTCAGATGAAGATGAAGAGTCGTCTGGCGAATCCAGCGGCTACGAGTGTACGGTAGTACCCTATTTTTGCTATTACTCGATGACTAACATTTTTCATCAGCTGACATGGGTGATACCACTGACGAAGAAGACTTTGGAACCGATATACTTCCACGCACGCCTAAGCAGTCTGTTCTACAACGACCGGTCTCAGCACCAGGCTCACGTACCGGCACACCCAAGCCATTTCAACGTAGCTCTCGTCCAATAGGCCGTCAAATCCCGCCAACTCGCGGCATCTTCATTCACGACGAGACTGATCAGGCCATCGCGGTTACTAACAGGGCTACCAAGGCCGTCGCATTCTACCGGCCTCGCACAATGATGATTCCATGGATTCCTTTGACTGATTATCAAAGTAGTACAAGCGGTACTGTCAACAACAGTCCTCGCAACTCTATTGCTCAGCTCAACGGCTCTGACAGCGAGAGCAATGAGGTCTTCAACAATGGTCTCAGCACCGACATCATGCTTAGTGGCATCTTTGGATCAGCTGGGGGCAATGACTTTACGTTTGGAAACGAGAGCATTGGTCCCCCAGAGGCTTTCTACCCATTCGTAAGCATATCTTCCAATGGTAACATGGGCCTCGTTGACGAAGATGAGACGGGTTCTTCGAGCGACGAATACGACGATGATCTCAATATCGCCGACTTCATGGACTTTGGCGAGTCAGGTGGAGATACTGATCTAGACGACGACGACGAGTTCGACGAGACCGACAGGCCAGTTACACCTGCGACTTCCAATGTGGGGCATCACGGCTCCACCCCAGCAGCGCCTGCTGATGCCACGCCTCATCGCAAAAGAACCACGTCTGATGTCATGCTCGAGCATTTTGACCGTGGCGTCGTCACTGCTTTCCGCAGCAACCAAAACCGGTATCGCGATGTTGCGTCTCTGCCATCGGATCCTGCGGCGCGCGCCTCGGTTTCTCGTCCTGTCCGGTCTGGCAAGTCTGCCGAGGCTCTCATTACTCCTGTCCGAAGGCGCGTTCGGTCAAACAGAGTCGCCAAGTCACCTCTGAAGAAGGACATGACTATGACCCGCAGCTCACCTCTGTCGGGTGTCACCAAAGCCAACTCGCGGTTGCAGAAGTCTGTCTTGGATTCGCCAAAGAAGGGGCCGCCTAAGATGGGAACCTTTTCCTGAGCGAACGACGTTACGATATCTACGGCCTTTTGTCTTCTAGCCGTTCCAGCGGCTATGTTGTTATTACGAACTTTTACATGCATTTGCATACCCTCGAAAAGTTCTTTTTGGATCTTTCCTAGAGGGTCTGATAAAAAGTTGAGCGAGGCGTCTGGCTTAGAACTTTCCTTGCGGCCACGCGGCGGCATCGTTCGGGCTAGTGTAGCCTCAGTCGCGTCTTCACGAATTTCCTTTGTTTGGGCCGGAGTTTCTTTGGTTTAGTACAATATGTTTTGTGTTTTAGTTTTCGCTGTTCGCCTCGCCTCGTCGCTTCCTTTCAGAAGGAGTACAAGGTCTTTAGGGATGATACCATGTGTTTTACGAGCTGGGTTCTGTTGCTTCCCTCTGGCGTTTAGGTCTTAACAGTTTGGCAGACTGTTGACCTGATGGCGTTGAGGTCGACGGATGGCTCACAGACATGTCGCGTCTTGTTTTGGTTTCTCTTTTGTCAGTCAAGTTGAGGTGTGTGTGTGTGCGTGTCGTGTAGGATTATTGGTATCGAGTATGGAATGGTAGTTTTTTTTTGCGAAGAATGAAATGTGTTAAACAACTCGATCCTGCAGTGTATGCATGGCATAAGGAAATCTTCAATATGGCGCTAGACGTCTGATAGTTATCCCACTACATCACAAGTTCATCCCTTTGTTCCTGCATGATGGCGCAATTACCGTTCTGCGGGAGTCAGGATGCTGGCACTGGGATGCTTAGCGTGGTGTGTATATATCGTCTGTGCTCACACTACGTCACACGCTCAGCCCAAAGCTCGCTCGCTCCCTGCATGTGAAGATCGCCCGCGCGAGAACATGCCAACACCACCGAAACATGTAGCCGGCAGTTACCCCCACATTACCGCCATGGAGGAACTCAAGGATGATTTCCGCGAAGATAGGCCGATTCTGAAGATTGTTACGGTAAGGACAAGATCGCCCTGTTGCGTGCATCGCTCGACACCACCATGTCATTCGATCGCTCGTCACCAATCCAGCGCCCCAAACAACGCGTACTCACAGTACCCAGGACACACTCCTCCTTCCCCTCCGAATCGCGACATCGCCAGCTCTGCTACGAACGTACCTCCGCACCATCCTCCTCTTCATCACCTCCACCATCCTCTTCACCTTCGCCGTCGTCGCATACTCGTCGTTCTACTACAACTACATACCCGTGCGCGGCATCTCCGTACCCGTATACCTCCAATTCGACCACGGCCCCACCATCCTGCCTCCCACAACCACCTACCCAGATGGCAGCAGCAGCCTCCCAACCGGCAAGCCCGCAAAATGGCCCTACGGCCTCGCCAACATACCCGGCCTGGTAGACCGCCAAAAGTACGACGTCGTTGTCGAAATGGTCGTCCCGAGGAGCAAGACCAACTTGCAAGCCGGCAACTGGATGGTGGGACTCGAGTTCCGGGGCCCCACGACGATAGGACAGGGTGTGAAGCATCTCCTTGGCTGGGACGAGGAGTGGAGCGTTGAAGATCATAGTCAAGGTGGTGTGCCGGGTGCCACGGCCGAGAAGATTGTTACGGAGGGGACGACGAGCGAGACACCTACTGTTCTTGCTAGAAGTCGCAGACCGGTGCTTTTGACGTATCGGAGTCGCGTGCTAGAGATGGTGTATAGGGGGTTGAGGCTGCCGCTCTATCTGGTGGGGTGGCATACAGAATCTGAGTTTGTGGAGATTAGCATGATGGAAGGCGTCATGTTTGAACCTGGATATCGGAATGTGCCGAGTAGTTTGAGGCTGGAAGTCCGAAGTAAGCTTCCAATTGAGGTTTACAGGGCGCAGGTCAGGATTAGTGCGAAGCTGGAAGGCTTTCGTTGGCTGATGTACCGGTACTGGGTCACCAGCGCGATCATTGGCATTCTTACCTTTTGGGGCATGGAGATGGGCGTTTTGCTGTTTACCTGGGGGGCTTTTACGCTGCTGTTCAGTGGTGCTTCGACACCGGCCCAAGGGAACCAGCAACAGAAGAAGATCAAAACTGAACAAGGAAGCGGCGAACCTTTTCCCAAACTCGAACAAGGCGACTACTCCGAACCAGACACACCTTACAGCGACACGTCCCGTACATTCCCTACACTACCTTCTCAACAACCTCTCTCGTATAGCTCGCCGCTGTCGCCTAAATCACCCAAAGAAGAAGAACGCGGATCTCCTAGGCTAGAAGATATACCGACAAGAGAGGAGATGATGGAGGCTGATGATGAAGAAGATGACGATTTCATTCTTGAAGAGCCGATTCCTCGGGGTGTGGAGAGGGAGGGGGTTTTTACGGATTCGGGGATTGGAACGAGTCTTGAGAGTAGTATTGATAGGGGGTTGGCGAGACGGAGGGGTGGGAAGGTAAAGGATAAGGGGGGTGATGGTGGGAGTTAATTGTCTATAGGGAAAGGGGGAGGGAGGTTAGAAGAGGGGAAATGTGCGAGATTTGTTGTGAGAGGAGTGGGAAGGAGTATGATGCTTGTGGAAGTTCTATTGGTGGGTGGCCGTGCCTATGTTCTAGTATAAGCATGTCCATCCGATCAATGAGTAGATGGTAAAGCTATGCCGTTTTCCTGATCTGTACGGTCTCCATACTAGGGTTCCCCTATCTATTGCTATCACTCGCTCGTTGTATATTTATTTTAATCGGTTTCGGGCATGCCTTCTGATTCAGTCTCAGGCATAGCGCAGAGCGGCAGCTACGTGAGAATTTGTAGTCAGTAGAATGGACTGTATGCATCATGGCAGGAAGGATACTAACGTCTTCATTCCCATCGCAGACAACCTTACAAGCCTCTAGGCTTCGTCTACAGGTACGGCTGCAGTCTACTACCGCACAGTCGAGTTTGCGGTAGACTCCAGTATCAGAAATGAGGCGTGGGATGCGATACGGCAAGTCTCTGTTGGAAGCGTCCTTGCGGTCAGCTAAGAAGAAGAACTAGATCAGTTAGAATTCTTGAGGGGACAAGATGGTGGGAGTGCGTACGAAAGCGATTACACCACGCATAACAGACAATTTCTTTAGCTGATGTAGCTGTGGCGAGGAGAAGAAGGAGGATGCTGGTGTATAGCGATTTCATTTCGGGTTCTTAAGTCGTGTCTGTGGATTGTGGGAGTTGGTTGGGGATTAAGTGATGGAAACAAACGTGCAAAGTCAAGAAGTCTTTACATCCCTCTGTTAGGATACGTTTAGGAAGACTTAGTCCAGGGATCTGTATGATGATGTATGAAATTCCATAGCTTGTGTATAACTGCGAGATGACACGTACTAGAGACCCTGGCTTTCAACTGAGAGATTTTGTGGAGTTTTTAACACTTCAGGATTACGGCGACAAGAAACAAAAATTACAGTACTTTCTAGAAGAGGTAAGGGAGATTCGTCATTTGTGGTTCAGGGAGATATCTAGAAAGCTGCTGCAACTATGTTCACGGCACCTGAAGTTGATCTAACGTTGAGGTAAATGTATGCACAAAGAACATCCTGATTTGCAAACATCTACACAATAGTCCAAGTGAAGACAAAATCTCCAGCTCAGATTTGAGCTCTTTCTAATGCTCCATATAGATACGCATGTCCTCGGACCTAGTCCGTTTGTTCGCCTATTCTTATTTCACGCTTGTTATGTACTTGGTTCGGGCCTGTGGATAGTGTTGGAGTATAGAAGTGATGCATTGATCTCACGGATTATTTGGCTATATATGCAGTACACTAGTGAGTATAACGGGTACCAATAACAATATAAGATAGCTCTTTCTTTAGATCGTATACCCGTCGATAGTAGACGTACTTTGGATTGTATCCTCTACTTCGCAACTAGGAAACTACAGTTAACACATTAGCAAATCGCATCCCAACGCTAGAAAGGAGGAGAAAGGCTTCATACTATTAGTTGCCCATTACAATCAAAAAAGCATTTCTCATCATCCCACATATCTTTACTGTACCTGTACACTGTAGAGCAGCCAACTCCAACCAGTGCGCAAGTATGGTCGAGCTGTGGGAGCGGAAGGTTGGGCGCTGGCGGAGCCGAGCGGATCGTCGATGTGTTGGCGGGGCATAAAGACGTATCAGAGTCAGAGTTGTACCTAAAGTGTGGGTATACAAAGTCAGTCTATGTCTCATATTTACTTCGTGCAGGGACATCTCTGACTTGTTGGCACAGAGTGCACTCCGCGGTCCACCGCTATTTACAGGATAGTTCTAGGGCCATCTTAGATAGGACGTAGGTGTAGGGGACGTTTTGTCCTTGCAAAGGAGGGACAAGTGAAAGAGGATGGCGAGCGTGAAGGACGTTGCCGATGGTGAGCGCAGCGTTCTTTCCGGCGTAGATGAACTGTGCCATGTTAGATCTTGTCCCATTTCCAGCAGCCCAGAATGCGCCAACTAACCTGGCTGGTGTACATGCCCTCGTTGGTGATGAAGGTCTCGATGTTGTGCTTGAACTTGTAGGGGTTGCGGATGGTGATAGCGAGCGTGTAGGATAGGTGGGAGCTTTAGCGCCAGTGAAACACCACTACCCTTATTGTTTTCTTATTTATTCGATGAAGCGGAGCTGGGTCTTACCGCCACGAGGACGATCAATCTGAGAAAGGCGCGACGTGGCCAACACCGCTGGCGCAGGGTAGCTTGGGGACAAGGATGGAGTAATAGATGTGCTTCATCATCGGGTTCCTGGTGTGATATTCTCTGGCTAAAGATGTGACGTTCTCTAGTAAGAAGCTGCTTGGGTTTCGCGGGCTCGAGGGTAGTTATGCTAGTGTGCTTGGAAATACTGTTGACAGTCTTAAGCGCCGGCTGAAGATATGATGTTCTCTAGCTTCTGGTGTGATGCTCTCCGGCTTCTGGTGTGATGCTCTCCGGCTTCTGGTGTGATGCTCTCCGGCTTCTGGTGTGATGCTCTCCGGCTTCTGATGTTGTCCGGCTTCTCCTCCTGGAGACTGACGATGTATAGCTTGGAAATAGGGATGGTGTGGCATCTGCTAAGATGCTGCCGTGATGGCTGTAAGCGGCCCGTCTTGAAACACGGACCAAGGAGTCTAACAGCTATGCGAGTGTCTAGGTGTCAAGCCCGAGCGCGTAATGAAAGTGAATGGAGGTAGGAACCCGCAAGGGTGCATCATCGACCGATCCTGATGTCTTCGGAAGAATTTGAGTAAGAGCATGGCTGTTGGGACCTTGAAGATCGTGAACTATGCTTGAATAGAGTTAAGCCAGAGGAAACTCTCGTCGAAATTGGAAGAAGAGTGTTTTAAAACCTTGAGATGTAGGCAGGCGTAGTGTGAGATGTAGACAGGAGAGCGGATCTGGATCGGTGGTCTCATTACAGAGAGATGTCGATGGCAGGCAACCGAGGTATATAGGACGTATATGTCCTTAGACAGGTAGTAGAGCTCGTGGTAGAGGTGCTTGTCGATCTTTCCTCGCCAAGGAGAGGCGAGAAGAGGAGGATAGCCAGAGTGGAGTTTTTCAGGTGGTGGTGCATGGCCGTTCTTAGTTCGTGGGGTGACTTGTCTGCTTAATTGCGATAACGAGCGAGACCTTACTCTGCTAAATAGCCAGGCTAACTTTGGTTGGTCGCCGGCTTCTTAGAGAGACTATCAACTCAAGTTGATGGAAGTTTGAGGCAATAACAGGTCTGTGATGCCCTTAGATGTTCTGGGCCGCACAGGCGCTACACTGACAGAGCCAACGAGTTCTTTTCCTTGTTCGAAAGAATCGGGTAATCTTGTTAAACTCTGTCGTGCTGGGGAGAGGAGAGCCAGAGTGGAGGAGGATGGCGAGCGTGAAGGAGGTGGGTGTAATGGATAGCTTAGGATGAGGACGGCGGAGAAAGAAACCATCGCTGGAGCTTGGTAAGCGCGCAGTTCAGACGACCCGTATGGGTGGGTGCGTGTTGTTTTTGCTGAGATGGGTGGTCGTGTAGTTGGTGGGTATGGTGTGGAGAATACCGTGACGACCTCGGGGAAGGGGTGAGACACCGATGGCGCAGCGGGGCAGCTATGTTGGTTTTGGCGTCAGCTATCTTGCGCTTTCGAAGGATATAACTCCTCCTGGTATCGAGGTATACTTACGTCTTCATCCCCATCACAGAGGACACGACAAGACTCTAGACTCCGTCGGCAGGTACGCCCACAGTCTACCTGGGCACACTCGATGCTGCTGTAAGAGTCGCCGAATTCTTCAAAGCCGGGTATGTTTGCTATGAGCCGTGATTTACCGACGCCTGGAGAGTTGTGTTAGCGACATTATCATGATTTCAAAGGAGGGGATATGTATATGGGAATGGAGGAGATGACGCATACTACGGGTGCAGAGAACAGGTACTGTACACTCAGTCGCCGAAGCTGTAGTGGTGAAGAGGGTGACGAGAATGGCGATGGTACAGGTGAGAGACATACCCTTGCATTGAAAAGGTGCTTTCATGCAATCACCTGCGAGGACCGTGGCTGCGAGGGAGGTGAGGGGGATGATGGTGGCAAGGAACTTCATCGTGATGTTTTGTGAGAGTTTTGTGACGATCGGCTATGGAAAGAAGGGGTACTTGTAGATGACCAGAGGACCATGGATGATTGCGGAAAGGTGTAGTAGTACCATTGCCACGAGAGGCGGGTCTTGAGGTAACCGCGCGAGGTTAAAGACTGGCCTGTTGGTTGTTAGAACCTGACGGAGCAGGACGAGCTCTTTAGGAGGAATGATGTGGAGGTTTCATGATTCCTCGCAGGAAAGTATGCTTCTTATACTTCATGCTAACAGAAACCATGGAATCGTTTGGGCAAGAACCTTTAAAGTCGGTTAGGCAAGAAACAGTGGAGCTGCTTGGGCAGGAAAGAGTGGCATTGGTTGGGCAAGAAACAGTGGAATAATTCAGGCCAGAACCCTGGGTGAGAAATTTCGAATGCTGACACTGGGAGTTTCTGTATGGCTGACGAGGTCCCATTTGCTGGAAGCGCTGCTTTGCCTCAAAAATTTGTGCGGATCGAATCATACTTTGAAACCACGGTATTGGCAGGGAATAGAGATGGTACCAAGCGAAGGGGATATTGAACCATAACCATCTGAAATTCCTACAAGTATGACTAATGCAGTCATGAGAACATTCGAAATTGGTGTACTATCTATCCCCATAAAAGAAATCTATGCGCAAGAAACGCCCTGGCATTCGAAACCCGCGAAACTACTCAAACCGACAAAAGTGCACAGCCTCAACTCAGAGCATAGGCCTCTCACTAGATGGATCCTGTCCCTTGTTGAACTTTGTTTCGATCCTGTTCTTCCCTTTCTGCATGTACCCCACCACCTCCTCATCCGTGATCGTCGTCAACCCACTCTTAACATCCATGTCACTCCTCTCGCAAGTCTTCGCCTTAATAAACACACCATTGCTCTGTACCTTCTTGCCTTCAACGATATCCCTGCAGAACCCGCCGTATTCTTCAAAGTGAACAGCACTAGCAGGATTACTCTCAATCAGCATCCCAAAGCAGTGCGGCATAGCCTCAAAGTCTCTCCACACAACCGTCACACCCTGCTTCACACATCGCTGAGCCACGACAGCTCCCTCATCTCTCAACATTTCCTCGCCCACGGAGAAGAAAAGCGGTGGGGCTTTGGACCAATCTTTGGCAGCGAGAGGGCTCACAAGCGGATGCATCAATGCGCTACCCTCGCAATAAAGGTCTGCGCGCGGCGGGTTGGAGGGCCACACGCCATCGTCCTTGGGGAACTCGCGGGAATCGACTTGGCTGGGCGTAGGGAGGTAATCGTACTTTACTCCTCCTTCGATGGAGGGCAGACTGCGCGTTATATCCATCCAAGGCGACGACAGGGCAAGACCGGCTGGTAAGGGAATCTCAACGTCTTTGCCGTGGAAGCGGACGCTGGGCGTTTGGCCGGCGGGCGTGCTACGGTGGATTTGAAGGAGCAGTTGGAGTAAAGCGGTACAGCATGTTCCGCCTGCTGAGTCGCCCCCGAATACGATTTCGCTGGCGGGGATGGGCGCGTGGAAGGACCCGGGTGGTGGTGAGAGAAGTGTGAGATATGCTGTGAAACAATCTAGTAGCGCAGAGGGGAAAGGACCTTGAGGCGAGAGGCGGTACCGAACGGAGAAGACGCGGCCCCCTGTTTCTTTTGCGAGACGGCCTGTGAGTGGACGCGATGTCGCTGGATCGAGGAGGTACATTGCGCCGCCGTGGAAGTAGAGTAATGTGACTTTACTGTTGGTTTCCTTTACTAGATTTTCATACTTTTCTGCCTCGCTCATGAATGAGGGTTCTGGCTCATCGTTCTTGGCATCTGCGCGGTACCCGTTCCATTCTGCTTCCAACGGCCGCTGTTCAGGCTTCGTCCAGGCCTCTTCCCCGGTTCCCATATCTTCAATAGCTTTGAACATCATCTGCCGTACATCGTCTTCTTCTGGTGCGCTCTGTTGAACCTTGCTGACCCAGACCTTTCCCTTGACACCTGGGTCCTTGCATGTTAGACGCTGTAGCTTTGAGATGGGTGTTGGTGTGGAATTAGGGCCCAGCATGTCGCGAAGCATGTTGACCGTCATTTCCGTGCGTAGGTCCCATTTCGAAGACGTTGGGGACATGGATATAGAGTGCCATAGTGCCGTCTTTAATAAAAACGGTGTTTTGGGAAGGAGAAACTTGATCAGAGCTGAGGGCGAGGAGTCCATGTTTGAGATGTTCCGCGGAGGAAGTTGCACGAGTCGAGTTCGATGATGACGAGAATGATCGTGTAGTTGAGATAGTGTCGATTGAAAGCTAATGTCTTGGTTTATTGTGAAAATGTTATAGTCTACAGTCAAGATTAAGGAGAAAAAGAAGCCACTCTAGTGGCGACCAGAGTGTTGACGTCGCACGACTAGGCTGTCGACGCGGCACTTAATGATGCCTCGGCCCATAGCCCCACGAGTCATGCACGAGATCATGCGAGATATACGGTCCATACGCTCACGTGGGGGTCGATCCTTAGCAGCAGCCGTAGGTGGAAGTGACTCAAAACGTCTCTAACTTCTATGCTTGCTCTTCAGGTTGTACATTGTAGCACACAGCACCGCATATCCTAGAAAGCAGGCAACAGAGACCCAGCTAATTAATCATCAATAGTATTCAAGTGACTACGCGCATAGTAATAATGAGGTGTAATGCGGGTTAGTGGTATCTTTCCATCCATCCATCAGTCCTCCATTCCAAAACGCCTGGTCCATTTACTCAATCATTTAGAAAGGCAATACAGCAAGCCCGCCTAATGCGGAGCTGCGCTTCTCTCTGTCGCATCATCCTGAGGTAGCGCATGGTTCCCCGGAATTCAAGACGGCTCAATTTGAGCTTTCCCAGGTCTTCCTTGCCGTTCTCGTCCATCGCCAGTAGACTAGGTGTCAACCACTCAAAGGGGGGCTTCTAACCATCTAGTTCACCCTCTTCGCTGCCTCTTTCTGTCACATTACCATCACCGGTACCATTTGCAGGCGGCTGGCTTTGACTTGTCGATTGTACGCCTTCCATACCCTCGGGTGTATCGCCAAAATCGATACCGTCCTCTGGCGTCCTGAGCCCCGCGTACATGGACGGCTCCCCATCTTTGTCTGGCGACTTCTCATAGAGATCTGCCATGAGGTTACATGCCCTTCTAATGTCGCGCAGTTGAACATGTTGTATTTCCCACCAAGGCTTGCCATCATCGTCGCCTAGCTCCACCTCGGCCATGCGCGCGCCAGCGTACAAAGATGCCGCGGCGATGGCCCGCGATGTGAATAGTAGACACATCTGTGTGGATGTCGAGTCGGAGAGGAAAGCCCAGGCCGAGTTGCGCAGTTTCTTGTTGTGCTCGACGCCGTAGTACTTCATCATGTCGTACATGGTCTTGTATGGTGATTCCACGTTAAGATCGAAACACAGAGCCTCGAGTAAGACGTCTTCGCTGTACAGGATAGTGTCCCGCCATTTCCAGAAGTCTTTTGTCTGCTCGTCGACGAGCTTGTTGGGGTCTTTGAGCGCGACTCGAACGCATGAGACGACGAGTTCTTTCATTTTGCGGCAGTTTTCTTCGACTTTCGTTGCGAGGAATAGCGCCGTTGCGGCGATTTGCTGTTGACATCAGACCTGTCCAAGTCGCGTCCATCTATAAAGAAGACTCACATAGTGATGGAGTGGCTTGTACCCGGGCCGTGGCTTCAAGCTCATTCGCATGAGATAGCGATTGAAAAAGACTGCCGCTGTACTGAGAGTGGTTTGCGGTAACTTGAGCATCATGCCCACTTGTAATATGAAGCCGACGCCCTTCCGCCGTAGTGTGCGCTCTTCTTCAGCAGGCATTCCATCGATTATGGATGGCGCCAAAAGTAATTCTTCTTCTGTGAAGATCCATTGCATCTCGGCCTCGATGACGGCCGGTGGTGGTGGTCTCGGGGGCTCGCGCTGCGGCGGCATTGCGCTGCTTGTGGTCGATACCATCACCAGAGGTTCTGAAAGTGAAGGCTGTGTTCCGATGCGCGATAGTGGTAGCGCAGATCACGGATAAAGTAGATGTCCCGATTCGGCTGTGTTGCGATACAAATGCTAGTTGATGTGTGCGAGCGCGTAGAATCCTGTTGGTGAGCTGTGTACGTGGTCGAGATCGCAAGGCTTCGTGCGTGGTTGAGTTCGCCGTGGGAGTCGAGGATAGCAGAGGGATTGTTCAAAGCGCGGACATTGGAGCTTGGTAGCTGCAAGGGCCAACGGCTCTCTTCCGCGGCGAATACAGGGATCAGTGCCAAGGCAATCTTCAACACCACGGCGCCTGACAGCCACGCCTTCGGCAGACCCAGAACCCGCGTCGTTCCCAAAAGCTTGTACTTTGTCAGATGGTCTGGGCATGAAACAAGTTGTGCACGTTTCAAGAGGCGATCAAACATAGTTTCGAACTGTCAGGGCTCACGTGAAACTACGTTCAGATGTCAAGTGTGTGAGAGATCTATTGTACCTCGTCCTCTGCTCTATGCAGTTGAGAGAACGCCGTTGACCGTTACCAGTCGTGCCATGTAGGTTTTGAGGTACAATTAAAATTACAAAGTGAAATCACATAGAATAGAAATGGTTGATTTAGTACCGTCCAGGATCTGTACTTCCGCCCACCAAACGCGCCGTGCAATGCTGGAAGTGTGCATCTTGCTTAGGAGTAGAACGCTTCGAACGTGTAGATGATGCCGAAGATGAGGAAAGCAATAGCACCACCAAGCGTGACTATGAGAAGTTAGCATTACACTGGGATGTATGGACCGGATGTTCTTACCATTGCGCATACTGATCTTTCCGGCAATAGCACGGCCACCAATGACCGCACCTGCAGTACACAGCCCATGGCCAACTACAGCGCCAGCAGTGACCCACCAGTAGTCAGAACCAGCAGCCATGGCAACAGTCGCAATCTGACTGCGGTCACCCCACTCTCCAAGGAATGTCATCACAAACGTCTGTACCCAAGCAGGGCTAAGAAGAAGAGAGAAG